GGGTACAATTTACAGAAGACAGTACCCCTGGCATTTGGGATGCCACATTAAGTTCAGTAGGTATCCTTGTCTGTGTAGTAGTTTAATGTATGCTATGACCGCAAGTGGTTGCCAAGATAACTGTATGCAGGCATGCAGTGGACATGTACTTAGGTGCCATAAGGGTAACTGGGTGAAGTCAGTGGTGTTAAATTAGATAATATATAGTACTAGTAATAATCAATCCTAGAATGTAACTATAAATTTGTACTATATCAAATTAAGGCTAATAAAAAACTAACTGGCATTGTTGCCAAAGTTCAAAAAAAAAAAAATTAAATTTAGCTAAACTAAATGAAGATAAACAAAGTGATTTAAATATTATCTTTAATAGTTAGGAAAATTGATTAAATAATTGGAAACAAATATTGAAAGATAAGAAAACTGCAAGATTAGAAAAAAAAAAGATGAAACATGAGAATAATAGTTGTAATTTGAATAATAATTTATTAAATAACTATATACATCCTATAGTAAATACTAAAGCCAAATAGAAGTTAAAAAATCTTTTTGGTTCATTATTCAAAAAACTAAGTTATATGAAAATAAATTAGATTTTTTTTAATTTTAACCCAAAGCACTAATAATATACTTTATTAGTTTCTAAATAGATTTTATAAATACTAAATAAATAATGCTAAACTTTGACCACATTATAAAAAAAAAATTTTAAATTAAAATTATAAATAAAAGAAAAAATAGATATATTACTCATTATTCTATTTCATATTATCTTTGTTATTATTATAAATCTTTAATTTTATTATTAATAAAATAATTGGAATTGAATATTGTACAATAAAAAAACTTGCTAACAAATAATTCTGTTACTATATTTGCTCAGTTTTCTTGATTTTATAATTTTTTGTCATTATTTTTTAATTAGCCAATATCAATAACATGCATATCAATATCTTAATTCTTATTCAAATTCTTATTGGCTAATATATATCTGTTCTAATAGAATAATCATTTTAGTGAAAAATTATTACTAGAACTACTGGAATACTAAAAAAATCTAAATGTTTAGTAGGATTCTAGCTTCTAGTCAACAATATTGATTATAAGTAAGATTTAAATCTTAGACCTGCCACTTGAAAGATAACAACCCAATCACTACTTTAGAATCACTATCCTTCTAAATTTAGTTTTTAAAAAACTAATTATAAATAATCAGATATATTATTAATATTTTTTAAATAAATAAATAAACAAATAAATAAATTTTCTTTTTCATTATAATGAATTTACTAGATTGAAATAAATTTGCAATTAAAATATAACATTAAGTTTAATATCACAATTCAATTTAATAAATCTAAGATTTGTTATAGTAAGTAATATTAATGTGTGAGATTTAGATCAAAAACCCAACAAACAGAATCTTGACAAATAAAATTTTACAAAAATTTTAGAAATGACTAATGCCAACCTAATGCAGACTAATATATCATATTATTTGTAGTAATTTTGTAGAGCTGTAAGTAATACTGTAATGCATGAAAAAATTTTTGTGACGCAGATATCCAGCCATCCTAGTATCACTCATAAAAAATGTAGCTGATGTCATCATTCTGTATATGAAATTTGAGTTCTAATAATTTAGTGATTTTTTTTAATTTTTATTAAACATTTAATGATGATGATTTTTATGTATTATTAAAAAAAAAATTTTTTTTAATATTTAACATTTGCATAAATAACAAGCACATATACATAATAACAAAGCATATATGCATAACAATAAAATAATTAAAAATTAAATCATAAGAACCAATACATCATATTGTGATTTAAATCTTTTCAAGTTTGAGGAGTTGTTTTGCGATTTTCATGTTTTTTAATATCACAATCATATTTTCTAAAGCTGTAAAGTTTGAATGAACTGATTTTAGCCAAACATTTCAATTAGGTGTATTTCATAAAATAGTTAGAATTTTTTTACTCTAATTATTAATTATACAATAATAACAATAAATAAATTAATATTTACATTTAAAAAAGCATGTTATTACTTACCTCTTCAAGTATATTACACAAATGATTTAAAATCTGTTTATCTGAATTTTCTTTATCATCATCACTACTAAGTACAAAGTTGTTTTTATAAGTTTCAACTGAATTATAATCAATAAGAATTTTTTTGATATCCATATGGGTATTTTAAAAGTTAAAAATATTTTGAATTTTATTATTTCTTATTCTAATAATCAGATATTTATCATTCTGTTGCACCTGTAATTGCATAAAAAAATAAATAAATAATAATAATAATTAATAATTCACAAAATATTAAATATTTGTATTTTTATATATCTTTTTGAAAAAATCACTATCTACTTTGCCAACTTTAATGATAAGATGTTTGCATAAAAAAAATTGACTTGAAATGTATGAATAACAAGAACAAGTTCAATTTTCTGTATTTGTTTTATATTTATTAGAAAAACTGACTTTCTTTTTTTCATGCATTCGCTATTCCTTTTTGAACTCTTTTTTTCACAGAATTAAATAATGATTTTGTTGTAAAAGACGAATTCAATAAAGTTGTTAGTTAATAACTTTATAAATAAGAATATAACATAAGTAGTCAATGCAAGGTCGATGAAACTTATTCAAATATTCATGTTTAACATGTTGCCAATGTGACTCGATGATTATTGTCATCTTAATATAGTTAATTTTATCAGTTGCTGCTTTTGTCTACAAAATCCATTTATTATAAGAATACTATTCAAACTATAAGTAAAGCCAAAGTTTAAATAAATTATGATCTCAACAGAATTTATGAATCTCAGTAACTGATTCTTCCAAAATTACTTTAGAGCTTGTTATAAATTTTCCATTAGGCTTCAGTAATAACATGTGACGATTATAGTATTGATTAATAAGATTAATTACATCATTTCAAAATTCCAAAGAACAAATTGCATTTATATTTTTAGCTTGAACCTCTCATTTTGGATCAATTCCTGAACATTCTTGATTTGCAAAAATAAGATTATAATTATATTTTCAAATGTTTTTTGGTAAATATAGTCTTTGCTTTATAGCACATCATACATGTCATGCACATAGTTGCAAACAAGATTCTGGCCATACTACTTGTATGGCATTTATTTTACAAAATGCCTTATCAACAAGAACAAGCAGAAATCCAGTTAATTGATGAATTTTTAAGCTATTTATCTAGTTAATAAGTACTCTAGTAATATTTCTATTTTTTTTTGCTTTAATTAAAAGATAACTTATTGGAAACCCTGTTCCATCAACTACACTTATTAAAGCATATAATTCCTATTCCATATTATTAGTGTTGTATATTGAATCGATTTCTATCACCTCAAACTTATCATGTAGAAGTATATTAAAAAGAGCAGTTGTGAAACTGAAGGCACCAACTGGGGCAAATTGATTAATAATTATTTCTTATTTAAGCTCATTTAATAGTAAGTATGCAGATTTTAAAGGGTCCAAATCACGTTGATAAATCTTTCTGAATTTGACTAACCACTAGTAATATGTTTGTTGAACATTTAAATAATCATATCCATCAATTTTTTTTTTCTGAATTAATTGCCAGAGCTTAGGTGCTGAAAAATTTATATTATGCTAAATAAATTCATGAATCTTTTTTGTAGTTTGATTATATATTAGTCATAAATGTAAGATTGAATGTAAATATTCAACTTTAATTAAAGTGCTATCTATTTCAATCTCGATTCGAATTGTACTCTTACAATCATATCAGTTAAGTTGTATAGATCTGTCTTTTTGTTTATTAATATCCAGATTTTTAATCTTGAGTTTACCTAGTTCTATTCAGCAGTTACACCAATAAATTAATTGGGTTTTCTTTTTATTTAAATTTTTGGATTTATATACTCAACAATAACCATCACCTTTTTCTATATGTGATACTATCTGATGACCTAATTGTTCATATTTTGTTAACTCCTTATTTTCTAAATAAATATCAAAATTCATATAAAACTCTAGGGTATCACTTTCATAATTTTCATTTGTGCCTTTTAGAGAAACCAAAGAGCTGTATACAAATTTACCAATATCATCATAGTCGATAGCTGATTCACTTCTAACTCTGGTTTCTTCAATTCAAATTTGTTCTAAAGGTCTTTTTCACTTGTTACAGCATTTTTTACAAGTTGCTACTTGTTTTCCTTTTTCATTTACATAATTTTCATATAGTTGTTTTGTATAACATGAACCACAATCAATTTTTTTTTCATCCATATTAGATGTTAACGCTAAAAATTTTTTAATGAAAAAATTTTTAAATATATTTTTGTAATATATGTATGCACGATTATAGTTAAACGTTACTATCACATAATAATCAGTAACATTAGCTACATTTTTTTATGAGTGGTACTAGGATAACTGCAGATATTCCATCTACAAATCATATTTTGAGAATCAAGTATAACATAATACGTTTAGTAAAAATTTCAAAACAAACATTCATTTTATTAAAAATTGCATATTACTCAAAAAACCACATACAAAATACTAAACAAAAGTTTTTCTTGAGCTATTTTACTATATAATCATTTAGTCTTCTAAACATTTTTAATAAACTTTAAAAATTTGAATTTTTGCTGCACTACAAATCTGACACATATTTAAAAATTACTTCAATACTATGCATCATGACAATATGGCATATAATATTTATAGCAATTAGGTAATTAATTTTACCATCTGGTAAAATGCCATAATTCAATAATTCTACTGCCAACTATACCTCTACACACTTATGTATATATGGTAACAGACCAATTTTTTCTTATAGATGTCATCGCTCTATTTTTGGACTTCACTGGCCTATTGACATTTCTGAGAAAATCTCTATTTACTTGCTTATCAGTGCTACGTTTTATTTTTCACATACCAGTAAGAAAAATATCGATGCCAAGCAAATTCTTGCCAATCATAATGCCAGATTCATAACTGAGCTCACTGATTACTGTATCAAATTAATGCTAAACTTACCTTATATACGAAAAATTTACAGCAGAACTCTAAAGAATTATTACAATGCTTAATATTCAAAATTTGATAAAATTGAACAAGTTCTTCAAAATTACTATAACAATTTTGGTAGAGTCGCAACCGAATTCTAATTAATCAATAGATCTATCTTAATGCTTCAAAATAAAATCAATCGATATTATGCCATTATTAAGGCACAAAGTGTCATTTCTCCAGAGATAAGAATTAAGCCTATAGGGAAGTAGAACTTCAAGATAATAACCCACTCTCATCTGGCCAACAAAGTAATGCAAATCAATCTGAAGCTTGAGCCAATGATCATTTTCAAATATTACTTCAGCAATCTGGAACCAGTTTAAAATTATTTTTGATAGAATTATGTCAGAAAGAGAATGTTCTTTTGATGATATATGTAATATTATAATGGTTGATTTTCTTAATCTTAGGGTGAGAAAGCTTAGTAAAGATATAATCAAAATTATTATCATAAATTAATATCATAAATTAATAACTTAAAAAGTAGCAACTTAAATAAAATAGGTTCTTGGATCGATAGCAAAACAGTTAATAGTAAGTAGTGAGAAAGAACTCTTATTCTATAAATTAGGGATTGAGTTATTCTGTTGATACAATCATAGTAAGATGCTGAATAATAAAGAATATTGGAGTAATAAGTTTAAAAGAAGGAAATATCTCGAGTTATTTTGATGATTGCATCCTTATCAAATAACTCTGTTATTTGATGAAGATGCAATCATCATCAAAAAAACTCGAGTCATTCTGTTAGTACAATCATAGTAAGACACCAGATAATATGTTATTGAATGCTACTCAGCCAATATTTCAGGGCCCTTTCGGGGCCCAGATAGAGGTTGGAACCGGTTTTATTTTTATTAACCGGTTTTACAACCGAATATAAATCGGTTATAATATATCCGGTTAAATCCGGTTATAATAATCCGGTTAAATCCGATTAATCGGATTTAACCAGATTATTATGACCGATTAATCGGATTTAACCGAATTATTATACCCAGTTAAATTCATCACGCATATAGATCAACGGATATACGCGTGCATTCAGATATGTAAAATTTGAATACAAAAAAAAAATGCAAACGTAAACGATGTCGTAGTGTGATAACTAATGATAGTAAAAGCAATAATTTTAGACACAAAAATCGATAACCTGATACAAATTAATTTCGTATTTACCTGATATTTGGCATTTTTCATTTATCTTCGTAGGACTTTTTATTGGGTTACTGGAACGATAATCGCTAATCGTCAAAAACGAGAAAATTTTAATTTTTTTGATAATCGGATAACTTGATAATTTATTACATAATACCTTGCAAACTTTTGTTTGATTAGCTAATGCGAGTCGATTACCTATAGTGTATATCAAAATGCTTCACGATATATTAATGACTATTTGTTAATTACTATATTTGCTTTCGTTCCTGGTTCTAGCGCAACTGCATCGTGCAGTTACCTTATTTAATCAAAACTAAGTTTCACGTGTGCAAGAAGATAAATGAGTGCCATCAAATGAAAACCTGTCATTAGGCTCAATTACGTTTTGTACCAAACACAATTACTAATAAATCAAATGGATTTAGTCCTGTACAGAATACACATATAATTGAAAGCCTGATGGCAGGCTTTCCTTTACGGCACTCAAATGAAACAGCAGAGACCATTAATGTTACACATATATTAAAACTGTTGAGGGATTATATCCATCACAATTGAATCCAACATAAATAATTTAATTTGTGACTGATCACAGGCGAGAGGGATTCACTTTAGATTGGGCACTGTCTCTGCTGAACTCAAATGATCATTTAATCATTCGGATGAAACCGGTTATAATAAAACCGATTAATCGATTAAAGGCGGTTATAATAAAACCGATTAATCGATTAAAGGCGGTTATAATAAAACCGATTAATCGGATTAAAAAATTTATAACCCGGTTATAAATCCGATTACGATAACCGGTTCCAATCTCTACTGAACTCAAATGATCATTCGGATGAAACCGGTTATAATAAAACCGATTAATCGATTAAAGGCGGTTATAATAAAACCGATTAATCAGATTAAAAATTTATAACCCGGTTATAATTTATAACCGG